AGAGATTCTTATAAGACACGAAAAGCACAACGTTTCTAAAAAGTAAACTGAACTTCATCACAATTAAAAATGTTTGCTCTTCAAGAGATGCTGTTATAAATATGAAAAGATATACCGCTGACAGGGAGAAAATATTTATGAAGATAGATAGCATATATATGAAGCATTCTCAACTTAATAAAAAGAAAACAGATCAAAAAAAAGCCAATAAAAAAAGGAAAAACAAAGTTTGGAATAGACACTTCACCAGAGAATATATATGGATGACCAAGCACATGAAGCACATCATTAGTTATCAGGGAAATGCAAATTAAAACCACAACAAGGTCCTATTACCTATTTAATAAAATGGCTGAAGACTGACCAAATTAAGTATTTGCAAAGATATGAAACGATGGATACATTTATTTTGGAAAACAACTAAATCAAATGTCCCTCAACAAGTGAATGATAAAAAAAAATTGGATATCCATATAACATCAGGCTCCTCAGCAAAAAAAGGAATAAATTATTTATAACTGTAACAAACCAGACACATCTCAGCTGTGGCAAGTGGAAGAAATCACAGTGGAAAAAAAGGCTCTTTCCTATATGAATACATTTATACATATTTCTATAATAAGAAAAATAATATACAGTGAGAGAAAGCAGGTCAGTCTGCTCAGCATGGGGAGGAGGGTGTGGCAAAGGGAACAAGTGATTTATAAAGGGCATGAGAAAACTTTTGAACTGATGGATTTGTTCATTATCTTGATCATGATGATAGTTTCATGGGTAGTTTATTGCCCAAACTTATCAAATTATATATTTTAAATATGGGCAGTATATTGTATGTGCATGTGTAGTAAAGTTGTATCAATCTTACCCAATAAACCTGAAAAATGACTTTAAAAAAGCCTTTTGATATATTAAATTTTTAGCATTTTTACATTTTCAAGTAAAGAAAAACAATCTAGTCCAATTTATATTAAAACACCTATAAAAAGTTTTGTATGTCTTTAGGTGGAATGGAAATTGTAGTTATGCTATTAACTACATATCAATATTGTTTCAGGGTAATAATTATCTCTAGCCCTAAATTACCTATAATATTTACTGCTTAAATCTATGTTCTCTGCTTCTTTATTATTTACATATAAAATAGCATAGTATTTTTAATTAAAACTGATCAAATACAAATCATCATGGAAATGCAAATCAGAAGCACAATGAGATATCACCTCACACCTGTCAGAATGGTCGAAATCAAACACAAAATTAAAAACAAGTGTTGGCAAAGATGTGGAGACAAAGGAACCCTCTTGCACTGTTGGTGGGAATGCAAACTGGTGCAGTCGCTGTGGAAAACAGTATGGAGTTTACTTAAAATATTAAAAATAGAATTACCTTATGAGTAATTCCACTACTGGGTACTTACTCAAAGAAAATGAAAACTCTAATTCAAAAAGATATATGCACCCCTATGTTTATTGAAGATTATTTACTGTAACCAAATTATGGAAGCAATCCAAGTGTCCGTGGATAGATGAATGGACTATATATATATGTGTGTATATATATATATATATATATACACACCCACCATTATATATATACATATGTACATATGTATACATATACACATATATATACACATACACACACAATGATATATATATAATATATATAATATACACCATATATATACACATTATATATATACACCACATAATATACACATACATATATATGTATATATAAACCATTGTGTGGTATATATACACATATATATGGAATATTACTTAACCATATAAAAAGAATGAAATCTTGCCATTTGCAACAACGTGGATGGGCCTAGAGGGTATAGTGCTAAGTGAAATAAGTCAGTCAGAGAAAGATTAATATGATTTCACTCATAATGAGTGGAATTTAAGAAACAAAACCAACCAACCAACTAACCAAGAAAGGGACTCTTAAATACAGAGGACACACAGGTGGTTTCCAGAGGGAAGGTGGGTAATGGGAGGAGTGAAATAGTTAAAGGGGATCAAGAGTATGCTTATCTTGAGCACTGAGTAACATACTGTTGAACTATTATATTGTCCACCTGAAACTAATAGAATACTGTATGTTAATTATACTTCGACTGAAAAAAAAAACTGATCCAAATAACCAACTTATTGGATAAAGGCAAAATATATTTTGTTAATTATGCCATTTATTGATGAGGTCATACATTTACATATTAAATATTATAGGCAAAATCTTCCTTTGTCTTTTTAAAATCAAATTAAAACAATTTACTTAATTCTATGAATATTGATGAATGGAGAAATAAAGCGTAGTCTATCTCTTTAGCATTTTCCATTTAAAAACTTTTGTAGGAAATACATAGTACTCAGCTTTGTACAATAAACAGGGCCCTGAACATGGAGGATAGTTTGTTTCAGATCCTTAATCGAGTAACTGTCATGTATCCATATAATTGAATCCTGCTCAGCTATAAAAACTATTGATATATACAATAACATGGATAAATCTCAAAGACATTATGCTAAGTGAGGAAGTTGTCTCAACAGATTACATACAGTATGATGCTATTTATATGGCATTCCTAAAAAGGCATAAATATGATTACATACGTTAGGATTCCATTTATATGCCATTCTGAAAAAAAGGCAAACTAATGGGTCAGAAAACAGATCAGTGGTTACCAGAATTTCAGGAGGGAGAGGGTCTGACTACAAAGGGTAGGCAAGTAGGAAATTTTGGGGGGTGTCGGAATTGTTCTGTATTTTGTTCATGTTGGCAGAAAGTTTTCTTTTAAAGTTCCGTATTTTCAATCAGTGAGTTTGAAAAAATACTGACAGTTGTATTACTCAATTCATGAATTAAGAGAACCATTTTTCAAGTCAATAAACTGCCGCAGAAAACTGTACTTAGCTAACCAAGAACTTGCTTTCATACTGATAGCATGAAAATTTTAGTGATCTAGTATAAAGGGTTCCCCTTTGAATTCCTTTGCAACTTTTCATAGTGATCATTAAATCTACTGTGACATTTTATCAACATGTTCAGACTCTGCCTTTTGTGGATAATACAAATGTTGTGCTCTATCAACCTGTCAATGTATTTGGCTTTTAGAAATTCATTCCATGTTATCTTGAGGTGCTGTGCTTATAAAAGGTTTTCAGTGGAGAAAAAAGTTTCCCCTAAAGCCTTAGCACGTATCTCTTACAACAAAGTAGCTATCAAAAGGATAGAGTAAAAAAAAGGGTGATAGTTGATAAATAACAAAATGTGAAATGTAGAACTTTTAAGAATATAAAAACACATACACATAATCTGAGTGAATATGTATAGTGTATATCTGTTTATATAGATGAAGATAAATGCAGGACACTGCATAGAACACAGACTTATTTCCTACACACATTAAGAAATTTAAGACCTCCTGATCTTGTATTTGAGTAGGTATTATGATTTTTAATAATTGATAAAATACAATGAGGCATTTGCTAGTGTGAAAGATAGCACAACCCCTTTAACAAGGAAATAAATCTTACTAAACAAAATTATCTAAAGTGTGCTATTTGGCTGCTCTGTACGCTACTGAAAGCAGTGATTCTTGACTGTAGTAATTAGTTAGGATCACTCCATTATATATCTATGACATCAAACCCACCTTCCTGGAGAAAGATAGACATTTTACCAAACAGGTACTTTCACATAAAAACGAAAGTGAATTTCAATCAACTCACTACCAGTCTATTGGCTGTCTGGAGCATTGTGGTGACAAGAAATCTAAAGTCAAGATTGGGTTTAACAGGAAAGAGCAAGATTTTTTTTTAAAGATTTATTTATTTATTTTGGAGAGAGAGCCCAGGGGGAGAGGCAGAGGGAGAGGGATGAAGAGAATCATCAAGCAGACTCCTCACTGAGTGCGGAGCCTGATGTGGGGCTCTATCTCACGACTCTGAGATCATAACCTGAGTCGAAATCAAGAGTTGGATGCTTAACCCACCGAGACAACCAGGCACCCCAAGCAAGATTTTTTTTAAGCTTTTATTTTAATTCCAGTTAGTTAATACACACTGTTACATTAGTTTCAGGTGTATGACAGAATGATTTCAACATTTCCATACATCACCCAGTGCTCATCACAAGTGCCCTCCTCAATTCCCCATCACCTATTTCACCCATCCCCCTGCGACCTCCCCTCTGGTAACCATCAGTTTGTTCTCTGTAGTTAAGAGTCTGTTTCTTGGTTTATCTCTTTCTCTCTCTTTTTAATTCCCTTCGCTCATTTGTTTTGTTTCTTAAATTCCACATAGGAGTGAAATCATGTGGTATTTGTCTTTCTCTGACATTTCACTCAGTGTTACACTCGAAAGAGCAAGATGCTTGATTAGCAATGTCTGCACTGGCTCAGCAGGTGAAGTGAAGGTTCATATACTGTGCATTTGCCAGTCCTGGACTAGATTTTAAAAGATGAAGAGATTCAGATACAATTTTCTAATTCTTCTTCTTGGGACTTGATGGAAATCCTCAATTAAGGGAATTATCTTCAGTCTAAATTTCTTTTCCTTTAGGTTGTCTTTATCCTTCTTTAAAAAAAGGTATCTAACTCCTGTTATTATTTCTCTATGTAGGTTTGCACTGGAATAGAATGTTCTTACAAAAAATACCTTCATACTCCTCGCAGACAATTTTTGGTCTTAGCTTTCATATTTGCTTTTTCCTACAATAAATTGCTTTTCCTCATATTTTGGTTTTCCTGCTATCTGCTCTCCTTTCCTATGCTCTGTGAATTCTCTATGCTGCGGTACGAGTCTTGGTCTTGGTGGTGGTAGGTGGAGCCTGCTTCCCATTTTAAAAGGCTAACTGGCTAGATGCTCATTATCTCAGATTCTTGTAGCATGGGTATGCACAGTTGACCTGGGTTCAACTAATCAAACTGTAGGCGTTCAAACAGGACTCAGAGTGACCAATAGAGGTAAATGACATGGGGTTTGTGACAGTGGCAACATGAGAAGCAGCCGTCCATTTCCAAGAGCGGCTATGGCAGCAGTTCCGGTGACAGTGTCCAGAGTCCGGTGCTGGGCTTTGGGGCAGTGGCATCTGTGATACATGTTCCAGCACCTTTCTCGGAGCCAGCGACGGAAGCGCTGCTCTGTGAGAGGGTCCTGGCAGGAGTTCTTGCTGCCACCCAGCTTCCTTCACTTCTGCATATTTTTCAAGCCTATTTCCCCAGCCTTACCAGAAATTCTGCAGAAAATCCAATATACTTTCAGTGAGTACTTTTTCTGCTTTACATGAATTAGAATTGGTTTCTCGTGTTTACAGCTAAGATCACTTTACAACAGATTTGTGAAAAGTATTGGTGATAAAACTGGGTGAGTTTTGACTCTCTTCACTTGGCTCTGTAGATGCTTTGTTACTTGGTAAGCCTCAGGAAGGGTTTTTCTGTCTGTTGAAATTTACTCCTCTCTGTGAGCTCTCTGTATGGATCATATACTGTGGTTTCTGCTATCCTGAAGCAATGGGGCTGATAAGTTTTGTACCTTCTGGCAAGAGGAGTCACTACTTTAAAAGTCTGAGCTTAAAGGAGAAAATTCATCTTTGGAAACGTGGATACCATGATCTGTTGGCACAGTTTCTAACGATGACAACAATATATTACAAATCCAACCAATTCCCACATCTCCACTCTGACATTATCAACATTTCTCCAAACATGACTCAATAGCCGTATAGCTGGTCCCTGATTCCTCTCCTGCCCGTCCTACCCAACTCCCACAGACACAGGCTATGCCAGCAACGCTTCAGTGGCATCTCAGATAATTTAGGGGAAAAATATCCAGAATCTTCACATGGGTTACAAAGCTCTACATTATTTTGCTCATGGCTACCTCTCACCATTAGAGAGTGATTTAATTCCCTACTACTTCTTATCTTGCCGCCTGGACCTTTTTGCTGGTCCTTTCCTAAGCCAACAATGCTCAATCTCAGGGTATTTGCATTTGCTGTTCTCTCTGACATGAGGATTCCTTTTTCAGATACTCACATAACTCATCTGCTCACTTGATTTAGGTTTCTATTCCAACATCATTGCCACAGAAAGGACTTTTCTCATCAACCTTTCTGAATGACTACACTTAACAGTCCTTTATCCCTATTCTACTTTAATTTCTCCTCATAATCCTTACTACAGTCTGGTATTATACAATTTGATTTATTGATTGATTTATTTAACTCCACCCCCCTCCCCGGGAATGTGAACTTCATGAGGGAGGCAGAGACTCTAATATATATAAAACCCACCTTCCTGGAGAAAGATAGACATTTTACCAAACAGGTACTTTCACATAAAAACGAAAGTGAATTTCAA